AGCATGCACTACAGACAAATAAGACTTTTGCAGTACTTCATATAGGCTATGACGGACGGTTTTAATAGCTACAAAATACTTATAGGCTTCGTTTGGGACGGCTTTCTTATTGCTTCTTAAAGCAGTTTCTTAGTATAAAAATTTTAATTTTTGTACTAAGAAGTTGCTTTATGAAGCAGAAAGAAAGCCGTCCCAAACGAAATCATAGTGGTTCTAAAACTGCTATAATAATATGAACATAATTGTTATTTGCCGCAAAGATCTTTCGCGACAGTTTTGAAACGGCTGAGGAAGGAAGCTCGGTGCACTAGTTTTGTCAGTGGTTTTAATCACATCAAGAATGAGATTTTGGCGGCAGTCTTAATCGGCATAAATCTGGATATATAGCGACGAGCCGACGATCTTAAGTGCCACTATTATGCACACTATAGCAAAATCACATATTATCGACGGCTTTTTCCGACCAAAATTGATCATTTTATAACAGTTTTAGAATTTACCTGTGGTTTTCCGGCGGCAAAATTTCCGCCGGTAAAACCAGCATTAGAAAAAAATTTTCATCGGCATTTTTCCGGTGGTAAATAATTCTGTCGGCTATTCTGCGGAATTATGGCGCCCATAAAAAAAAAAAAAAAAAAAAAAATTTGCTCTGCCCGGTCGCCTGAGATGCCCGCCTTCCCACTGCCTGGAGGCATTCCCGCACAGCCTGCCCAGCTTCCCGCTCTGCCCAGCTGCCTGAAGCCCGCCGCGCTGCCCGCTTGAGATGCCCACCTTCCCAGTACCCAACTACCCGAAGCGCCGCCCGCGCGCCTGCTTCATATGGGATTCAAAAACTCTGATTAGTTGGAAATTTTTCTAACTCCCAACTAGATTGCTACAAAAAAAAATATGGTTTACTTGTCAATTGTTTATATTTAAACCCTATAATTACGCAAAATTAAAAACTTAAATTAAAATTTAAAAATAATCTTATTATGAAAATAAAAAATTAATAATTAATAATTAATTTTAAACAAATAATTATTACTAATTAATTTAAGAATGAAAATTAATTAAAATAAAGTATTACAATTAAATTTAATTAAAACAAATTATTAACTTAATAATTAATTAAATTACTAATTACTAAAAATAAAATTTAAAATTAATTAAAATCATAATTTAATTTTAAATATTTGTACTGAAATTAAGAAAATAGTTAACTTAAATTAGTTATTTTTTTAAATAATTTTGTTAAATCATTTAAATTGTTAATTTTTTAGAAAAACTATAAATAGAGCCCTCATTCTACACAAAGGGGCCTCAAGTGAAGAGAGAGAAGAAGAAGAGAAGGAGGAGAAGGAAGAAGCTCCTCCTCGACCACCGCCGGAGCTCTTCCTGCCGCCCGAACATGCCGGAATTCTGTCGGATATTTGGGAGAACGCCAGAATTCTTCCCAACTTCTACGGAATGTGGAAATTCTTCTCAATTAACGAGAGAGTTCCCTCCTGATGCCGAAACTCCGCCCAAGTGAAGCCAGAGTTCTCCTCTGCCACCAACAGACGTCGGATTTCTACCCGACGTCGCACCTTCACTTTTCGCCAAATTTCTATCTGACGCCGGACTTCTACCGGTTATCGGACTTCGCTGTATATCTACACGAAGATGGATTTCTTTCCATTGTTGGACTTCTACCTGACGTTGTCTTTTTGATCTTCGTCGTCAGACTACGGTCCTTCTGACTTACGTCGCCCGCCGACTACAGTCTTTCCGACCTCCGTCGCCCGCCGACTACGGTCCTCCTGACTTCCGTCGCCCGCCGACTACAGTCCTTCCAACAAAGCGAATACGTCAATAGTAACTCTTTGTATTTACATCATGTAATGTACTCTATAAGATGTACATCAAGCTAAGGCCTTCTCCAAAGGAAGGGCCTCATTTGTAATCGACTACAAATACTAGTGTATTCATTCAAACTGGGCCAGGCCCCGTGATTTTTCCCCCTTTTCAGGGGTTTTTCAAGTAAAAACTCTGGTGTCTCTTATGAATACTACACCCTCTCACTTATCTGATTGCGTGCCGGATTTTCGTACAATGCTAAGACGATGAACTTTATATTTCTCTACCGCCGCGAATACTCCTGGACGCAACAATAATTTTTTTTAATTTTACATTTTACACATTGTAACGTGTAATATTTGATTTTGTCGGAGAAGGGGAAGCTACAATTGGGCGGTGAAGAAGCTTGTTCCGGATAGGCCGAGGAGAAGGATGATTTGGCCAGAGGAAACTTGTAATGGCTTTCAAGGTTGACGACGAAGATGAGAACTTCTAATCCGACAGGAGGAGAAGAAGAGGGCAGAGAGGAATTTGAAGAGACGTGAAATCGGAAGATGCAAATTTTAAAAAAGAAAAAAAAAAAAACAAAGGCGAAGATAATTTAAGGGTAGAATCACATGCGACTTCTCGATTATTTGGAGCGGAAGGACTCCTTCACCTTATTCGGCTCTCAGATTAATTAATACATCATTACTTTATTACTACAACAACTTTATAGAAATAAAGTTATAAGTATTAATTAATTATAATTATAATAATTAAAAGAAAAGGTTGTGAGTTGATTTGAATAATTAAAATTAATTAAAATTTAAGATTAGAATTTGATATGGATGGAAATTCAAGTCCTTTTTATAATAGTAATATAGATATGACACTTTCTCCATCAATAATAAGAATCATTTAGGCCTTCTTGTCAATAATAAGAATCATTTATGTGTTTTCTGGAATCTAACAGTGCATTTGAAATTGTTATATGAATTTTCTCATCTTAGGATGAAGTAAATGAAAATATTTAACATGTGATCGTGAAGAATATATCTACTTTTCTAGCTTTATAAATAAAAAATAAAAAAATAAAAAATCACGGCCTTCCGATGATCCGATTAACATAGTAGATGTACTAGATTTGACTTATGTTAAGAAAGTTAAATGTATACCCAAAAAGACTTAGTTAAAAAATATTAGGGATATTTACAGACATACAACCCTATACTACTCTATTTATATATTAAACACTTAAAATTTTAATATTACATACTGTTGCGGGCTAGAATATATGCGGCGGTAGAGTTAGAAAATTTTTGTCTGAGCATTGCACGAATATTCAGCAGACAAACAGTAAAGGAAAATAAACATCAGGATTTTTACGTGGAAAACCCGACAAGAGAAAAAAACCACGGGGCTACGCACAGTTGAAAAGTTCCAATAGTGTTGCTTGAGTTACAAGAAGTTGGTCGTTTCCCAAGTTAGGACGATCAGATTTACAATGAATTTCTTCTGAATTGAAATTCAGTTACAAAGTTGTGCAGAATTCGAACATTCTCCCGGATATCCGGCAGAATCCCGACGTGTTAGGGCGGCGGGAAGAACTCCGGCGGCGGTCGAGGAGGAACTGATTCTCCTTCCCTTTTTCTTCTTCTTCTCTTCTTCTTGATTGGGTCCCCTCTTATGAGAAATGAGGGGTCTATTTATAGTTTTTTTTTTTGGAGTGACATGACTTATAAATAGGTGTGAAATCAGGGGCGAATAGGGAGTGGTTGAATGGACGGCTGATATTGAATCCCTTGATCATACACCGTTCGTCAGTCATTTGAAGGCCTTAGTGATGTCGGAATCCAGCGATCTTGAGCTCGTTGGATTTGTCTCGTCGAGATATTCGATTCGACTATAAGCTCGTTAAAATCGGAGACCGTTTGGTAACTCAAATTGTGGTACGAGCTTTCCAACAACTCTTAGGGTGCTTGATTTTGGCTCATTTGGGCTCGAATTGAGTTGAATTTGGTGTTGTTGGGTTCGTATTTCCGAGACGCTCAGTTTGACTATAAGCTCGCTGAAATCGGAGTTCATATGCTCCCGAATTTAATTTTTGGAGTTTTCGGTTCGGTTTCGCCTCGAGATTCGTGCTTGATCAACATGATTTTTTTAGAATATATCACATATATACCACCCATAGTTCATTTTCATATCAAATATGAGTGATATAAATGAAATATATGAGTGGTAGGAAGGAAATATGAGTGGTATATTTGATATTAAAATAATATAGCGTGACATGTATGTAATATTAAAATTTTGGATGTTAGATATGTAAATTATTTATTATAAAGTGATATGTATGTAAATTTCCTTAAATATTAATAATGACCATTTTTATAAGATTTAAATGATAATTTGACTCTTGACATGACACAATCAATAAAAAATATTTATGTAGCAGATCTCATGTAGTTGGATAAAAATTTGATGTTGTTGTTGTAATAACAAATTATCAATGGGCTGTTTGATTTGTTGCATTTAGAAGTAAAGTGATACAAATGCAGAGGTTTTGGGAATTTCAATGTTTGGTTTGAAGTAAAGTAAAATTTTGATGTAGGATGAGTGTATTTGGAATACCTAAGCAGTGTCACTACATTGTCATTGTCATTACCATCGCTAGCCGTCGCCCCCACCGCTGGCCGCCACCGGGGGCTATTGCCCCTGTTGCCGCCAAAACCACCGACCGCAAGTCACCATCGTGCCCGACAGTGGCAATTGGTCATCCCTGCCACCACCACCACTACTGCCGGGCACTGCCACCACTGCTGGTAGGGTTGTCAATATTTGACACGTTACGAAAACCCGACCTGGAAAATCCGGGTTGGACCCGACCTGTTTTTTGGTTCGGGTTCGCAGATTCGACCAATTTGAAAAACGGGTCAGGTTCGAGTTGACCCGACGGGTTGCCGGGTCAACTTGAAAACCCGTTTAATTTAAAAATTTTGGATTCCCGCCCGCTGCATGCTACTATCGCGCTTTACTAACTATCCCAACAACAACTTTTTTGCACTTTATATTGCATCCACTTAAAAAAAAAATAAAGTCATGCATTTACTTTACATTTATTCAGAAATCTTTAAAGTATTCCTTTTATAATGTCTTTATATTAAACTACATTCCTTTTATCATGAATTTATTTTTTAGGCAGCCAAACAACCCTTAACATAGATCTGACATCGCCAACGGAGATTCGAATCGGGGAGTTAAACATAATAAGGATAAAATAAAATGGTTAATAATTAGGACTCTCTCTTCTCGCCTCCCATCGGTTCGTTCAGGGTAATTGATTTTGCTCGGTTTTCCTTCAACCTCCATCTATACGTTTCTGAGCTTCGAGCCCTTCCTCCTCTGCAGGTCGCGGTTTTTTTTTTTTCTCGTCGCTAATCCTATCAGATGCGCTCAGATTTCCTGTGGTTTGCTACTTTAAGGGTTTGCTGATTCTTGGTTCCAATAGAACAAATCAAGCCGTAAGTTATTTGTTATTTTGGTTTACTTTGCTTGACTGCTATAGGATATTTTATTTTGAAGTTTATATGTTAAATATTGGGGATCCCATTGATGATTCTGCGGCTGCTGGATGTTAGTATTTCCTTTGGATTTGTTTACTTTTTTTTTTTTCCTAAATGTCGGCTTATTTTTTTTTTTGATTTTTTTCTTCTTCCCTGGTGCTTTGTTAGATTGAAATGTTGAGAAACGTGTAAATTTTGGGTTATGGATGATCTGATTGTTCTGATTATTCAGATAGGAGTTTAGTTTGAAAAGAGAAATCATTTCCTTGATTATCTCGTGGAGTGGAGGTGGAGGAGAGAGTTTTACGTGGGAATACAGGTGAAACATTCTTCGCTCTTTGCATACTAGCTGACAACAATTAATAATAAGAACCAAATATGGACATTCATGTGAAGCGTTTTCCTTTTAATTTAATATGCTGGCACCTTATGAAGAAAAAGACAATAGAATGAAGCTGAACATATGTGCCCTATAGAAAAAGAGCATGTTATGCATTTATTCCTTGTCTACTTTTTAAATTAAATTGCGTAGGGACATATTTCATTTCTCTAGGACCTAGGTAGATTAGTTGTATGTCTTTACTCCGCAAATATTTCTAATTTGTTAAATTGTAATTATGTTTCATTTCTCTAGGTAGATTAGTTGGATGTCTTTACTCTGCAAATATTTCTAATTTGTTAAATTGTAATTATGTTCACCTGAGTTAAAACATAATGTACTAGTTTATTTAAATGTTTTCTTGTCTGTTTGAATGGATTTTGCATCGCTAACTAGATTAAATTTTTATTTGATAAACAATTACTTACTGTACTTGATAGGCACTTTGTGGCTTGTGCCCTTCAGGTTACATGAACACTTGCTCTTTGACAACGTGCATCCTATCCTTCTGAGTCAGGTTAATCAAATCATCATATGGTTCTAAACTAGGTTAAAAAATCATTAGCCTTAAACAAATTTGGTACTCACCAAGGTTAAATTAATCCAAAGCTAGAAGTAACCTAAAGTCAAATCTCATCAAGTTGCCTAGAGGAGATCTACCCTGTACCAAGATTCAATACACTGACGTCACCAACTCACCTAAACTACTCTCATGAAGATCTTGGCAACTCATTCAAGAGCACTTGCTTTTCAATCAAGAGTTCTTACAAGAACCCACGTAGCATTCTCGCCAACAAGCTCGTGTAATTTCCATGCAACTCAAACAAATGGACGACTGCTTGATAAGGATAATCTTGACGATCCTTGAGCTATTTTGATGAGCTGCTCCTCACATTGTGCTAGATAAAAACCTGGATCTAACCTTTCTCTAATTCATTGTCGTCAACATAACCTTAGAGCCATTGCCTCTACTCTAGTTATTGACAGAACTTGTATCCCGAAAAAATGTGCGTTTGGGATACTTCTTCCTCATTGACCCATGAAGCATTAATCTAAGCTTATTAATACATATGTTGTGGAAATCTTAGAGGCTTAGCCTCCTCCAAAATTTAAAATAGACCATCTTGATTCCTATGGAGAAAAGTCGGATCCTATCAACCATATTGCTTATTTTGAGTTGGGAATTTTTTCTTAGCATTAATGAAATGTTGAATACTGTTAACCACCTTTAAAGAGGCCCTACTTTGATGGTTTTTGTCTTCCACTAGGGAGTATTTATTCATACTTTGACTTTAAGTGACACTTCATGAAGAAATTTACTAGCATTAAAAAATCATTAAAGCATTCACAGGCTTTCTAGAGCATGAGGCAAGAGTGAGTTACTTTGGAATTTCATAGTTCATTTTCAATGTGAAATGTTGGACTTCTAGGACTTGGACGCAACAATAGTTCAAGTCGTATTAAAATAGCATGAGAAGATTATGTTAGATATCTGTAATAAGCAGAATGTTGTTCGAGCTGCTTGAACTAGCCACAAATCATATCAATATAGAAGAGTATAATTTCATATCCACAACTTCAACATCTTAGTCAAATGACTCTAGTTTTATTTAAAACTCATGTCGACATCCTTATAACCAACGAAGTCAGCCACATAATAATTGGGATAAGGTTGAGAAGCCATAACATTCTCGTCAAAAGCATTAGTAATAACAAGCAAAGCACCATGACTTCACCTTGAGGGGTGAGACCGAGGTTCAATATAGCTACAAACATCATAAAGTGGGAGAGTTTGGCTTGACCTTACAATAGCCGACTTTTAGTCTTTGAGTTTCACTCGTATAGATCATAGACAAAATCCATAATAAGATTATTTTCACTTACCATCACCAATGCACACAAGTCCTTGTTCCTAAGATTTAACTAAATAAAATATTGTGTGTTCCATAAAGATCATATGCATGATAAGAAAGATTGCCACCACCTCCTTAACTTAGTTGAAGAACTTATCTACACTAGTTAGTTGAAGGAATTCATTCTTGCTGAACTAGGATGTCATCTCGAGAACACTTTAATGGAGCAATGAAATTAGCTTATACATACACTGGTGATTCATATTGCGATATTTATATCAACTATTCTCGAGGAGTTGTGACAAAAATGTTAAGGTAAGCTAGCCTCATGTGAAATTAGTCGAAAGATGTACATGCTGCCTTGATTTTTTCATGGTCTTTTTTGTGGTGGTGATGCCGATTATCTTTATCGATAATAATTGATCAACCCCTAAAATCATGTAATTGTTGACATAGTGTTGATCACCAATTATCAAATTGAAGGGATTCATCCTTACTGACCTAGTACTTTATCTCGAGAAGGCATTAGTTGAGTAGTAGTGAAATGAGCCTGCCCCAATGAAGGCAATTCATATTGTAAGAGTTATACCGACTATTCTAGAAAGAGTTGGGGTAAAAGTATCAAGGCAAGTTAGCCTCAAGAGAATTCAGTTGGAAGAGATAAACACTGCATCAACTTCTTTAGGTACACTGAAAGAATACCCAACCCCTAAGATGATGCAATTGTTGTCACAATGCTAGTCACCAATTATTAAATTAGTAGCATATTCTTCGACATGGGAAGTTCCATAAATATTATCTTTAAATGTGCCTTTGATCAATTATATTTTGAGTTTCTTAGATTGTTTCTTATTAACAAGCCCCTTTATGGTCTTTATGGTGAATGTAGGAAAGATAACATTATGGTTACATTCCCAATCATCTTTAGGGAAGGCAATCAACAATTCAGTGCTATCACCGACTTCATAAAAGTTGATGTCTCAAAGATCCACAATACCATATTTATTTGCTCATTTGCTCTTTAATACTTTCAAAGTAGTGTTTTCATCTTTGAACATACCAAGCATCAGTTAAATTTGTTGCAAGAGGATACACTATCATTGTCTATAGAAACTTGTAGTTTGGGGCATATTACTTGAAGTTAGTAAGGAGTGTGCATTAGAGAGGAGCCGTCCTCTAGAGCTTCATAGCAATCAGAGAGGTCACCATATTTTAAGATCACCAAACTCTTGCGCTCCATACCACATCTTTCTATCCATAGTACAAGGAAAAACTCCTTAATACCTGCCAAATAAATACTTAGTTTCTGCTTAGTTTATTGTAGATATGTATAGAGTTGACATAAACATGTATGTCTTTGCCACAACATCGACAAGCTGGCCATGACGAGTAGGAAAAAAAATCACCGAGTCTTTGAGACTTAGGTATATACCATTCGCTGTTAAGTCCAGAAGCTATTTGAGGTCGACTTTATCCAATACGTGCAATACCCATCTTGTATATTTAATGTCATAATGTTGATAAATCAAATGGGAAATGGAGAATGTGCTAAACCCAGCTTGCCTAAAAGGCAATTATCCTCACCCACAAATAGACGCCTTAGTTGACTTGGTAGTCAGTTACCTAGTATTAAGCTTCCTTGAATCCTTCTCAGGCTATTACCAAAGATAGACGCATCTCATGAATGTTAGAATTTGGGCTTTATCACTGATGAATGTCATGCCATGCAGACTAAAAAAATAGTAGGTTGACTTACCATCAAAAGATGTATTGAATTTTCAACTATCAAAAGGGTTGGAATATTCAAGTATCCATTCATATTCACTCATCAAAAGTAAAACTCCATCACCACACATCTTAGATCTCTTAGAGATGTATGCAACTATCAAGAGATATAATAAAATCACAATTCTTTAAAAGTATACTTTTGGAGCTAGTTTAAAATAATTTCTAGGCATTTTACTCTTGAAGGCATGAAAATGAACCTAATTAAAGTCAGAGTGATTTTTGAGATTTCCCCTCGAAAAATTATTAAAGTGCTTCAACAATTATCTTGATGAGTTGTAGTCCTTAGTTATTTCTTCTAAAAACCGGGCGACAAAAATTCATCTTTTTTTTCAAGATACTAAGAAGTGCATAATATTTTTAGTACATTGGTGAGTGTGATCTGACATCCACACACCTCAAGGCACTTCTCTCTTCATCTTCTCATATTTAAATATCACAACCTAGTGACAACTTAGTATTATATATTAATGTTAGCGAAGATGTTATTAGTTCAGCTCTAATAAAAGATGGAAAAAAGTAATGGATGATATACTATCTAAGAAAAATTCTTTTATGAGCTGGATTAAGATATATCATCATGGAGAAATTAGCTTGGGTGCTAATTGTCACTGATCACTGAAGATTCAAAATTCAATGACAATCACTATTTGCTTCACGATGACAAGTAATTCAGAAAGTTTGTCACTTAAAAACCTCCAATGTGCTAAAAAAATTGAGACTATCGACAATCTAAAGGAGGTTTACTGAGCTGTATGTCAAAGTTACTAGGAATGAAGAACTCTTTTCAAGGAAATGTAGCTACTCTACAATTTTAACCTTCTTATAAGCTTTAGACAATATCTAGCACATTTACTATTTGGGGAACATAACTACTCATTCCCTTTCCCTAGTGAGTGGTCAAATTTTTTTTAACATATACCTAAAAAACTTGACACTCCGCCTTGCCTTATGCTTCGGAAGAAAAGTAATGAATGAGATTATGCTAGCAAATGAATTAGATATAATCTTTGCTATGATCAAATCGTAGAAATTGAGGATATTTGTTACCTCCTTGAAGGCCTGAACGCACAGTCCAAAGTAAGACTAAACATGATATAGACACAACTAGTCTTTATATAGCTACTTGGAGTTCTCGTTTGCCTTTACAGTTCTAACTGTGTAGTCTTATCACTTCAACATGCACCTTCTCAAAGAACTTTGTATTATGCTTCGTTATAAAAGAAGATTATTTTAAATTCATCTTTACAAAGGCATTGTAACTCTTGATTAATTGAAGATATTTTCATCAATTTGGGAAGTTCAAACAATTTATCGTCCTTTGACCCATCCATACATCAACAAGAATTGACTTTATGATAAAGGCTACGACTTCAAATAACGAGCAAACTCATACAACATGATCAAGTACAGAAATAATGGAACAAAGAGACATCTAAAGTCTAATTTTATCTTCATATTTGATAGAAGCAATATGATTAGAATGTATATTTTTAATAAAATAAAAAGTTGATTACACCTGCTTACATAAAAAGAAGAAAACATGAAAAGATGAAAAAACTTAGAAATAAATTCTCAGAAGTTATCTCTTGTGAGGTACATCTAAAATGGTCAATTTTCTCATTACTGTCTTGAAGAAGTTGTCGTATTTCCAAACTTGTCATGCAAAGGCATCTCAACTCCAAAGAAAAAAAAACGAAGCATTGTATCATGAGTAGTTTCTTGAGTAATGATTCTATAGTGAATCAAATGGCATAAACAAACTCTCAACTCATTAGGAACTAGTTTGACCGAGAAGATTCAACAAATTTCTTCATTAAGATCACTTTGTTCTTCATTCCATCAATCTCTTTTTGCATTTTTTGAATGACTTTATTTGGTAAAATGGTAGGGATTCTACTTAACATTCAAGTTTTTTTCTTGTAAGAGTTAAACCATATTATCTCGACTTCCTTGTAGACTTTGAGGTTGGTTACTTTCTCAATAATTTAAATTTCTTGGCCCCAAAATGATTTTTAAAAGAAGTTATAATATCATTCAACGATGTGATTTCAACAAGCAATTCTTCAAATATCCCAATCAAGATCGTTATTCATGTCTCATCTAACCAGGACAAAGGTTCTTAACTCAGAACTTCTTTAAGTATGTTATTGGACACCACACCATCAGTTGTGACTCTTAAAGCCTGATCTTGATCATTATTATAACCATGTCATATATGTCTCTCGCATGACTTGAATATTCTCTAATAAGTTACCTATAATGGTGACTTCCTTACCAACAAATTAACTAAGAATCGATTGTTGACAATGCTTTATTGATTTTAATCTTCTTTGGTAATGGGTCTTCTTTGCTTCACCTTTAGTCGAAGTCACATATGGGATAGAAGAACTCTTGAAATTTAGATGATAAGTAAATTGATCAAAAGTTGGTGACTCATCACGATGGTCTTAAATCTTAGAATTGCTAAGACATTTTCAAATCCAAAAACCATGGTGAATTCGGAGTATGTAAGCAAATAATTACCATCTCTTATGGAGCAAGCATCACTTATGACCCCACCTCTTGAGTAGTGCCTTGAAGCTTGCTTATTGAAAATCAAAAGACATCATCTCTTGTTTCAGTACTAGGTAACTCAACCTATTTGATTATAATGGCAACAATATTTTTTGAAGCAATATTCTCAGCAATGCCCGCAATAGCCTTATTAGTAACTTTTTTTATAGCAGTGTTCTCAAGATTAATCTCCTTTAGTTTGGAGAGACTAGTATAGCCTCAATGTTAATCAGATGGTCCTGATCAATAACCTTTGTAGTTGCATACATTGGCTCTATATATACTATTTTTAGAGGCGACTTTGGGGACATCTTTGTCATATAATTTTCTAGTTCATGTGCCTATTCATTTTCATGCCTTGTTAGTTATATAACAATTATTTTTGGACTCGAGTTGTTATCAAGCTTTTTCAGCTTAATAGAGCACAAATAACTTGATTGTAGGTGTAGAAAAATGAATAAATGCCAAAAACCTTGAAAATGCCACAACAACTAATATTTATAGCCTTTGTTGATGCCATTATGTTCAACATAAGTAATTAAATCTATGTGATCAATCACATTTAATGTGCCATTCACTCGAGTTGAGTTAGACTTTGAATATTTATTATTTTATTCTTTTTAGTTTCTCAAAAGAAGAATTAAGAAACTAATGTGCTTTCATATTCGTATGGGTCGGATTACTTAAGCCATCTTATGATATTGAAATGAGTTCAACAAGTTGCCTAATTTGATAATTGCCAAGGTTGAAGTTGCCCAAATCCATAAGTTGCCTAAAGTTGTATCTTATCGAGTCGCCCATAGAAGGCTTTACTCATTCATCTCCAAAGTACAACATACAAGATTCGCCAACTCACATGAATTGTTTTAACAAATATTTTTATTACTCATTCAAGAGTACTCACCTGTAAATCATGAATTCTCACTATATATCTCACCTATGGTTCTCACAAGATGACTTCACCTTGGGAACTTGCTTGAAGTTGCCCAATTTTTGGGTGTTGAACTTTGGAGATGAGCAGTTCAAGGTTTAGAGAAGGCTTTACTTATCTCCAAAATTCAAAACACAAGACCAACTCACATAAATTGTTTTAAGAAACATCTTGATTACTTGTTCATGAGTACCCTCTTTTCAATCACGAGTTCTCCCTATAACTCACCTAGGGTTCTTGCTCGATGAATTCTAAAAGTTACCCAATTTTTGGCTATTGTAACCAAACAAATTTGTTCCACAACGTGCTTCATTATGACTTTTTATGTAAAAGTTCTTGTGTTTCTTAAGTAGCACAAAACCTTTAACTAACCATAAATCTATTAATAGGGGGGTTAGAGGATGAGCTCTGTATACAATCATGTTACATCAATCTTTACTTGTACTAAAATTTAAGAAGCTCTCATAGATTCTCTCTCTCTCTCTCCTCCCTTCTAGGCTCGAATTGTGTTTGATGCTAAGGTCCCAGTACCACCCATGGATAAGTTTAGACCCAACAAATAGGAGTATCAAGAGGCAAGACTTTTTCCACATAAATTTCTATGTTATTCTGAGGAATTGAAGGAGTATTTTTTTTTATTTGTTGTTGTATGCAGGTATGGAAATTGTTGATGAGAGAATATCATGGTGCAGTGCTTAGAGGGTTTCAAGCACTTTTTTTCTGCGCTATTGAAGTGTTGTGATCTTGATCTGCAAAAGCAGACCAAGGGCCTAGAAGATCCTGAGGTTCTAGCAAGAGAGACAGTGTGTATGTTGCATAACACGGCTCCATAATCTAATTTACTTGGGTGATAATAATAGACTAATTGTAAAGAAGAAAAAGTTTATTTTCCTTCCCTTTTTAATAGTTTACAAATATTGAATAACAAGCCTATAGGCAATGCCGTCTGACCTTAATTTCTTTCTCTATGTTTTCTGCAGTCAGCGTAAGTGAAATAGAAGCACTTTATGAGCTCTTTAAAAAGATTAGTAGTGCTGTTATTGATGATGGATTGATCAACAAGGTTATAATCTTGCTTTAATTCAAAATACCCATGTCATTATTATTGCATTCTGGACCTATGTTAACTAACTTTGTTTATATAATTAAATAGTACTGGCTCAAATAAATAGCAAAAAATGCATAATCTCAATTTATTGTTGTGTTATTAGTACTGTTTAAATGATATATCTTTTCAGATATAGGACATTCAATAGCATATAAGGTGCAACATTATTTTTAATTAATGAGTCCCTGTAATATCATTTATTTTAATTTTATCATGTCTAAAATCTAATTTGTTTGCTGCAGGAAGAGTTTCAACTAGCACTCTTCAAAACGATCAAAAAAGAGAGTTTGTTTGCTGATCGGGTATTTTCAAAATTTTCTTGCTACTAGTTGAATCTGTTTTACAAGCACATCAATAATTGTTTGAGTTACTGGAACTTGTCTTTAATAGTTTTTTTTTTCCACTGAAACTGAAAGGCATAATTGAGAGGGTGAGCTTGGCATAGTAGTTTGTCTTTTTATTTGAAGATCATGAGTTTTAGTTGCATAAGTATTTTGGCTCGATTCTTATCTAGAGATCATGGGTTAGAGTTGATAAAATAACCTCCTTTCAAATATAGGGGTATGGCTGTGTATATTAACTTCTCTTTGACCCGGGTGGCGGAGGCTTTATGCTTTAAGTTGACCTCTTTTCCTTTTTATTGCTTGATTGACTTTTTGAAGTAATATCACAGTTGTTTGATATCACATCCTGGAATGAATGAAAATGACGAGCTGCCCCAACTAATTCATTGCCATACGACTATTTGCTTCTGCATTATCTGAGCAGTAGATTGTGATACAGCTCTTGATGGGGAATATATATATATACATAATAGTCTCTGTTTCTGTGATAAATTTCATGGAGGATGCAATATTATATTGCATTTTTCTCTAAATCACATCCTAAGCTAGATGGCGAATGCAAGTTATTGTTTCTGCTGATTTCCTTTTGAACTAAGTTTGACTTGATTTCTCTAGCTTCGATTTTTCAATTGTCTGGTGTTTTTATAAGAGGCCTGGAGATCAGATATACCTCTTTCTGTATGATTCCTGGGACAAGTAATGGTAGTATTAGCATTGGCAATCAGTATTTGTAGTAGTAAACATGTAATAATGTCCAACAAACTAATCCAGAGGGGTTCACGGTCATCCCATTACCATTTTTAACTCTTTACTTCAATTATGGCGTTATCACATCCATTTCTATTCCCTTGAAGGTTTCTTTTCCTTTGAAGGTTTAATACTAATTTTATCATATGATAACTCCGTTCCATGAACCTGAATTTGTTGACCACAATCTTTAAAATTGGGTTCCAATTTGATTTCATTATAGATAGCCAAGTCACAAAGGCGGACAAATTTGGCCTTCAGTATATGTAAGTTTCACAATTGGACACCAAAAGCAAGTTTGAGATCAAATTTGTGATTTGTAGTCTTGAGAGAGGGGGTCGTGTTGATGCGAGTATGCGACTAAGAGTGGCTAGGGTGACTAGTCATTGCTTGTGCCAAAAATCTCTATGCGTTGTAAAAAGTTTATAGAAAGCCCACGCTTGTAGCTTCCCTACCACGTTCTTCAAGTAGTCCTGTGTTGGGACTAAAATTCACCCGGCTGCATGTTGCAGATAGGTGACCACATTACACTGTTGGTACGTCCACATCCATTCATTGCTTTGGACTTGGCCATACCCAATCCAGGCTTGATTTCCCTGATTTCAAAGGGGGAAATGGGAATGGGGGAGAGGGGGTCCAAATAGACTAATGAAGCCTTGCTAGATTCATGTCGCGACTCCAAACAAGGGACTCATCCCTTCCGCAGAGGATTTCATTCTCATTTTCATTTAACGCCATCTGGTGCTAGTTTGTGATGTTGTGTATCACACCCACCCATGGAGCTGAAGCTGGCCAACACCGCTTATGTGTGACTTCTTGTTGCAATGGGGAGGTTTTCACTTTACCTAGGAACCTCTCACATTGCTTGTGCACAAATTTCATGGCATAATGGGAGGCATATTTAACCTTGGTTCTTTTTACATAGCCAAACTTGACTTTCTTAATGTGGTTAATTGACCTGACATACTTTCACTACCCCCTCTTTGTGAGATGGTGCATAAGTGTCAATAAAATCTTTTGCTAAGCTCCAGAGTTTGGTGAGAATGCTGCCCAAACCATGGGTGTGTTGCGGATGTGTTGTTGGAATGAATGCTGGGCAAAATGAATATCCATAGTCAGCTAAATGAAATAAAATGTATTTAAGCTCAAGAAATATTTAGGCAAAATGAACATAAAGTATTTAAAATTTTGAACTTACATAGAGTTTTTTTCTTTATCATAGTCTTCAAAATTGATATTGAGATTATTAAGTCATAGGGTAATTTGACGACACATCCTTCTCCCATTGGAATGAAAATAGAGTTTAATGGGCTCAAAATAGTTAAAGTGCTTCTTTTTAACTTTTGCATTTGAACTTTTAATCTATTGCATGTCCGTACATGTCCTTGCGCTTGTCGTGTAAAATTCATTCCTTAAATGATCTTTGGAGTCGTACGTAACATGGCATGCACATCTTATTTCAGGTTCATTCATGATGCACCACAATTTTACCAAGCTTCAAACCAAAGTATAGTACTTATAAGAAAATTGGACCCATCGCCCACTTAGATTTTAGATTTGTTCATTTCACAACTTCATTACAACCTTACCAAACCTATTGGTTGATGTGGTGGTACCTAATTCACACGAAATATACCATCGTGTTAGTGCACAACTTTGACCTGATTGAGAATTTTTTAGCAAAGACAAATATGATTTTTTTAGAATTTAAAAAATATCCTAAATTATGAAAATGCAAAGAATGTAGATTTCATAGGAAAAGTTAGAAAAATGAGAATATACGGTTGAAAATTTCATAGTTTCACAAATTTGGTAAGTGCCTCTCTAATATTCTCAAGCCATTTTGCTTTGGGCAATCCCCATTTTGTTGTCTAGAAAAAAAATATTAAGTGGCAAGATATTGGGAATATAATAAAACACTTATAAAAAACACCTATCTTGGGTCTACATTCGCATAAGGAGGCGGTGATGGCTTTGAGATTACACCATCTCTAATCACTAAAGGAGTGACATACTAGGCCAATCCTATAAATAGGCCTCATAGTCAATTCATTTTGGCGGATTTTTTTTTTTCTACAAATTCATTAGAGTACTTTGAAAAACTGGAGAGAATCCTTTCTTATTTTCTTAGAACTCTCTTCACAAGATTATTAGTCTAACCCAAAATCTTGATGAATATGATGCTTAACATTTGCACGAATCCAGTAGAGGTAGATCCTAGCATGAACAACTTCCTTCTCTAAGTGCCCGCCCATCGCTCTTCTGATTTTTTTTGTGTTTATCCAATGCGAATAATTAGGACATTAAGCATCATGAAGGCGATATGAATGAGACAATCAAATAGATTTTAAGTCGTTTCTAAGAAAATCCCATATTGCCTTGAAGATTTGGTAAAAGCTAGGAGGATTGACATTGCTACGGTAAAATTTGAATTCTAACCATTAATGGGACTCTGAATATTCACATATTTATTTATTGATTATCAAGAATGATAATGGGAGTCACTTGAAATAGCCATAATTGGCGACCGTTTGTCCTGCCATGGACTTAGGTAGGTTGATGAGGACAAACAAGATGTATGCTTGGCCAATTAGATTTTGCATAAGTTTTGATGGCTAGGTGAGGATAATTAGCTCTATCTATTTTGTCTAAGTATTATATACAAAATTGAATATTATAAGTCTTCTATTTAGAGCATTTGGGATTTCTCTCGTCGGAACTCTCTTTGCCAAATCTTTAGTCTATCTTGAAGCTTCACTTGTCTCGACACTAATTGCATTGAGAAGAATCCAATCAATGCGAACACCAACCTGACAATATAGAAAAATGTTCGTCCCATGTTTCTCTGTGAGTTTGAAAATTTCGTACCTAAGATGATCATAGAGCGTTACACATTCCTGGTCTGTTAGAATATTTCCAACATGCAACAAGTAGCATTTAGGAACAAATGTTATGAAGAGGGATGCCTCGAGCTGACAATAGCTAGTTTGGTGCAAGACTAAATAGTTTGATACAAGTCTAATGATAATAATATCATAATGAATAAAATAGGTTTATGGAAACTACTGACTCCAAGATTGTTCTAATAAAAACCTTTACATTTTCTTCACTTCATGCAGCAACTACAATTGGCATACCTAACAATTTCTATTGGCACAAGATTATACTTAATGATTTTCAGTTTTTCACATCCTTTTTTTCAGGTATTCGACTTGTTTGATACAAAACATAATGGGATTCTAGGATTCGAAGAATTTGCTCGTGCTCTCTCTGTTTTTCATCCAAATGCTCCGATTGATGATAAGATTCAATGTGAGTTGTATCAATTTGTTCGTTAGGTTAATCATGATGTAATGGTATTATTTAAATTTATTTTATTTCCACTTATTTCGATTTGGATCACCATGTTGAATTGCAGTTTCTTTTCAGTTGTATGATCTCAAGCAACAAGGTTTCATAGAGAGACAAGAGGTAATTTTGTTATTTTGAAACGTAACTGTTCATTAATTCGAGTTAAATGGTTTACAGCTCTTTAAAGTAAATTGTTTATAATAAAGGATATTTACTTCTGACATGTTTGACCTTTTTATGTTTAAAAGGTAAACACTAAATGAATACCTTAATTGAGTCTTATATTAATAGCCCCAAGAAGCTAATTTATTTTGCATCAAATTAATAGGTTAAAAATGTTTATTATGTAGCTAAATCTTTTATGGATTACAGAACTCAAAATCTTTTAACTCGAGAAAAAAGTCAAGGTTCACATGGTGGCAAGATTCTGTTACCTGATTATAGTAACCGAGCTTGTTTTGATGAACAGGTTAAGCAAATGGTAGTGGCTACCCTTTCTGAGTCGGGCATGAACCTCTCTGATGAAGTTATAGAAAGCATAATTGACAAGGTTTGTGTGCAGTAATCACCTCACAATTTATATGTTTATTCCAAATGATCTTAACGTGCCTGCTTCTTAGGCTTCATTTGGGAAGGCTTTTCATTACTTTATAAGATAATTTTTAGTACAAAATTTCTAAAAAAATTGCTTTTAAAAGCATAAAAAAAACCATCCCAAATGAAGCCTTTCTTACCTGTTAATCGTTTTCACTGGTTATTTGTCTTTCATATTAGGTCCTAGTTTATTTTCCATTTCTTAGTCATTTAGCAGTACACGTTCCGAAATTATATGATTTAGAATTTGGTTTAGCTATTAAAAAGCCTCAATTGCAAGTGCTTTTTTTTAATGTAAATGTTTATATTATATTTTTTAAAGAAAAAAATACCTCATTTTAATTAGTATTGAACAAAAAAATGCTTACTTTAATTGATACTAAATAGACATTAATTTACTATAAAAGAACTATTTGGATTAAAAATAAACATTTTAATGTAAACTTATCAATGGAAATATAAATGAATGTAGGGGGCATTACTTTTCTTTACAAGAACTTGTGGATTTTTAAACATTATAGATCAAGGACAACAAAAATCTAAATCATTGATATTTAACATGTTTCTGAAAGAATGAAATATATTCTTTTACCTTAAACACAAAAAGTAATTTTTATTTTAACTAATCAGTAAAAGTATAAATATGCCTTAAAAAGCTAAAATGAAATCATGGGAAATTGATTATCTTTATATAAATTTGCAGGTTTTCATTGTCAGTTCTAAAACGGATGAATAGTAATGATTTATCCGGGCAGAGTGTCAAGCATCTTTTTTAGTAGTAATCTAGCATTTTATTTGACATAATCCCAGGGGTATCTCATGTAATCTTTTTTTTTTTTTTTTAAAGATTATTTTCTTGGTGATGAAGTTGAATATTATAGAATCATCACATGCCAAACAGATGCCATAGAAGCTTTAGCATTTTACTGGTTGAATTTCAAAGTGTCGCACATAATTTTTTACCTGTGGCATTTTGCTCTCTGCAGAATTTGAAAGATGAACTTTCCCTAGACACCATCTTAAAATCTAAATCTTCATTACAACAGCCAGGGTGGGATCATATATTTTTAGAACATTAACTAGTTTTTGAAGTTGTTGAGTGATTCAAATTTTTAAAAGCACCTTAAGTTTATATTAAGGATCAACATTGAGTCCATACCACTTTCTATATATTATGGATGGAGAGGCCTGTAAAAGATATTTAAATTGAGATGTTTTTGCAAATGATATAATTCTAACTATGAGATATTGAGTGTAATAAATGAAAATTGGAATAATAGAAGAAATTTTTTAAAAATAAAAAGCTTAGAATTAGTAGAATAAAGTTTATGCATATTATAAGTAATTTTAGTAAGTGTGTGTGTTAAGTTTAAGGTCTATTCCATAAGACTGAGTGAAACCTCTTGCAACCGGTCTAGCTTTCAGACTCTCAACACTACCATCCACCTTATGCTTTACGGTGGACACCCATTTGCAAGTCACAACTTTCTTTCCTGGTGGGAGATTCGTAATCACCCATGTTTGATATTTTTTCAATTTCATAATTTCTTCTTTAACAACCCGCCTCCATCCTGGGTGATTCAAAGTTTCTTGAATATTGGTCGGAATCTGTACATCATCCAACTTGGAAAGGAAGATTTGATAAGTGTCTGGTAATCTGCTATAGGAGAGAAAATTTTCGATTGGATGCTTGGTGCATGATTATTTCTGGCCATTTGATGACTATATCTCTTTTTGAACTTCCACATTTTTCTTCTCTATATGAATTTCTACAATTGCTGGATCCATTAAAGTAGAGTTGACAGGTGCAAGATTTGTCTCACTGCTCGGCATATGTTGATTTTTTTTCTTTTTCTTGAGTATACATATTGTTGTTCCTTAATTGCTACTCTTTACAGGGATTGATTAGGACTTATGGGTTTATATAATAGGTCTGAAGGTGAAGTTTGAGATATAGGAAATACTTGTGTTTTAGATTTCTTGTGATATTTGTTAATTTTGACTAGATTCTATTTGGTTATAGAATAAGAATTCCACTCCCAAGTTTGAAATTCCCCTTCACTCTCCCCTTGAATTTCAAAACTAGTGAAGTATGGGTTGTTTTCAAAGAACCTGACATCTATGGTTTCACATACTTTCTTAAAAATAAGACAAAAGCATTTGTAATCTCTTTTTGTCGGGGAATACCCAATAAAGACACATTTTTTTAATCTTGGGTCAAGCTTGCTTCTATCTTGTGTATATATATGAACAAAGACAGAGCACTCACAAACTTTAGGTGGAAGGTTTAATGATATGAATCGAGCATGAGAATAGGCTTTGAGTTGAGTTTGTCTAGTTGTTTTCAGGTAATCTATTTATTAGGCATGCAACAATAAGAATGGCTTCCCTTGAATAACATAATAGATCTGGTGACTTCCAAGAGTTGCCTGTTTTTTCATTCAGCTACCCAATTTTATTATTGAGGTGTATAAGCACATGAACTCACTTGGATTATCCCTTTGCTTGATAGGTATTCTCTTATGATATAATGAAAGTACTCTCTCCCATTATCTTATTTTAAGATTTGAATTTTTGTATCAAATTGGTTTTGAATCATCTGCTGAAATGATTTGAATATCTTTTCAACTTCACATTTCAAATTTTTCTTTCATTAAATAAACCTAAGTGAATTTGGTATGATCATCAACAAATATCAGTATATCACAAACCACCTTGGTTCACTTATATTTTTAACCCTTGAGGGTCCCCAAATATCACTATGGAAGTATGGATCAAGGCAGAGGGTTTAGAATATTGGTAAGGAACAATTGAATAAGATGATCTGGTACGTTTAGCCAATTGGCAAGTTTCACATTTGAACAAATTTGAATTTTTATTAATAAATAAATGGGGAAAAAGTTTTTGAAGATACATGAAATTTGAATGACCTAACCTATAATGCCATATGATAATCTCTCTATCTTGACTGACTCTAGAATGACTCTCAATAAACTGACTTACAATAGGATGATTCTTAAGAGCAATAATTAAGGTTTGTATGAATTTGGGTGTCTTGATATAATATACCCAAAACACATCTCAACATTGCCAATCTTCTTCTCTGAATCCATATCTTGAAAAATACATGCATTATTGGAGAAAATTGTTAAGCAATTACTATCACGAGTCAAATTACTAAAATAAATTAGATTGCACTCAAGATTGGGCACATAAAGCACCAATTTAAGGGTGATATCTCCTATAATAAAAGCAGAACCAATTCCCAAAACTTTGGATGTTGAGTCATAAGCAATCTTAACTACTCGATTTGATTGGTAAGGTTGATAGTCATGAATGAGTGTAATGTCTCCTGTCATGTGATTTGATGCTCCAGAGTCAATAACCTAAAGTTTTGACTATTTTATACTTGAGTGAGCATGTAGACTAGCAGGTTCTGGAGACTGTTGGTTCGTGATGTTGTTAAGAAGCAACTTCAGCATCTCTAAATGCTCCTTGGTGAAAATAATAGCTTTAGCTTTGATGGATTGATCTTGTGTTGTGTTGACAGAGTTCACCTTGCTTTCTTGTGCTAATTGTTTTGCAGTCCAATCAGCTGGTTTTCCATAAATCTTCCAACCTGTCTCCTTTGTAGTCTTGGTTTGGCACAGTGATCACACTATGGTCTAGGAAGAGTAGAAAAGTTGTTTGCAAATCCAGAGTTTCCGGTGTTTAAACTGGTAATATTTGGGTAGGAGGATGAGATCTTGCTATCCATTGACATGGTTGAGTTTTCTCGATTGAATGAGAAGATGAATTTTGTGCAAGGGCTATCGATGCTTGAAGAGAGGCTATCAACAAGATGGTGAAGAGTTACCATCGGTTGAGGGTTTGTAATAAAGGGAGGAAGGTTTGTTGCCGGTACTCAGAGAAGGCTTAGGATTTTTCTAGGCTCTGATACGATGAAGAAATTATTTAGAGAGAAATTCAAATTCTATTCTATTTCTTGTAATCATTACATATATATACATTCTAAGAGAATAAACAGAAAAAGAAAATACATTTAATCTAATTAATTATAATAATCATATCCTACGGATCTCCAACTGTAGCCCTCTGATTACTGCCCATGGATCTCCAACTGCATCCCTCAGATTGCTGCCCACAGATCTCCAACTGTAGCCCTTGAATTGTTGGCCACGAATTGCTGACGTGACCTCTCCTTGGCTGCGTGATTCAACAAATACTGAACATGAACTAATGAAAATGAATTTATAATGGTTTAGTCTAATGATGATGATGATGATTTTAGGATATACAAGCCACAAAATTGCACTTACCTTTTAGATATATATTGGTACAAGCTTTTTCTCTATTGTTGAACATGTAATATTGGCTTAGTATGCTAAGCATTTTATTTTTTTATTTATTGAAAGTCTATGCTCTTCTCAAGATGTGAGTCGAATATTTTCTGCATCAATACTGCTTATATTTTTTCAGCATCAATATTGCTTATATTTTAGAATCTATTTGCAATAGTTTTTCGTATCCTGTTGACAGTCTCCTGACTAAGGTTTTGTTTGGGACGATTTTCTTTATGCTTCTTAAAACACCTTCCTTGTACAAAAGTTTTTTACTTTTATATTAAGAAATTGCTTTAAGAAGCAGAAAGAAAGCCGTCCCAAACGAAGCCGAAATTAGTTTATACTATTTGTTAAATCGAAGAATTGTTTCATGTTGTCCTCTGTATCAGACATTTGAGGAAGCTGATACAAAACATGATGGCAAGATTGACAAGGAGGAGTGGCACAGTCTAGTGTTGCGGCATCCTTCTTTATTAAAGAACATGACCCTTCAATATCTCAAGTAAAACCTGCACTTTATTTCAATATCTTATTATCTTATATGCTTATATTTACTGACCCAAGGTTTCATACTTATTGTTTTGTTACTGCATAGCGAACAAAATCTTCAATTGCTTGCTTACTGTATTTTGGTAAAATCCTTTAAGTGATTTATAAGCTATTTGGTTTGTGAAATAATCAATGCTATTTTATATCAAATATTAATAGGAAAAATTATTACTAAATAGTAAACAAATTTAAAGATTAAAGAGATTTTTTACTTGTGCCTAAAGAAGAGTCATTATGAATATTTAAACAAGAATTCTTGAAAGTAAAAAAGAAAAATCAAATTTATATGAAGTGGAATATATTATGGAGGCTTGAAATTGAGAGCCATGCATTTGTTTCACGTCTCCCGCATTATCTGAGGTCGCTTATTTATCTTGTGCCTCCTACTATGTAGCGGTCACTAATCATCTTGGGGTGTCAATTCGGGTCACGGGTCGGGTTCGGGTCGAATCCGAAACTATTCGGGTCAACCCGAACCTGATCCGTTTTTGCAAATGGGTCAGTTTTTCAGATCCAAACCCGACCCGCTTCGGATCCGGGTCAACCTGACACCACCCAAATGACCCGGGCTCGACCAAAAATTGCTAGTTTTCGGGTCAAAACATGGTTCAATCTCCGATTTTCGGATAAAAAACGGATCAGTCTCGGTTTTCGGGTCAAAAATGGGTTTTCGGGTCAAAATGGGTCAATTTTGGATTTTTGAGTCAACCCGAATCCGACCCGGTTTTTTAAATGGGTCGATTTGTTGAACCCAAACCAGACTAGTTTCGGTTCCGGGTTGACCTTAACCTGGAATTTTTGGTTCGGATTCGATTTGGGTTTTCGGGTCGTGTCAAATATTGACACCCCTAAACATCTACGGGCAATCGAGAGAAGAATTGCAGCAACTATGAATTACACTAACCCTCTTACCTGTAGAAGCCCTTGATTTGGCGAAACTAACCGCTCATGACTTGGGCTTATGAGTTGCGAGTGTGAAACATGACCTTTGCGTTGAAGCACAGAGCATGGGAAGCTTAGTCATGCACATGCATCATTGCTCTTTGCTACTCCCCGTTTTGCAGAGCAGTGCATAGGCATTGACATGTCATGAAAACTCCATTGTGCCAGGTTTAGGGTTGTAAGCAAGTCATGTCAAGCTCAAGCTACCCATAATTTGAGCTCGTGTTTGTGTAATTAATTGAACTCGAGCTCGAGCTCTAATTTCAATTCTATGAGTATGACATAGCTCATAAGCTCACTTAATTTTTATAAAATAAAAAAAAGAGAAGTTGATTTTGATTTGAAACAGTCATTGTAATAAAATGATAAAAAGAAACATAAATTAGAGAAGAAATTATATGAAATTATTTGAGGCAACGAACATAGATAACTTTTAAGTAATTTTAATAGTCTTGTACTTAAATTTTGAAATTCTAATATCTTTTAGTTGTATTTTATATTACCATATTTGAATGAGCTACCTCATTTACTAGTGGTTCAAGTGTAGGTTGGCTCAAATTTGAATGGTTAGCTTGTTAAGTTTAGCTCATGAGCCATTTATCAAATTGAGCTTGAGCTTGCTAACTAGTAACTCGACTCTATAACACCCTTGACCAAGCTACTAGAATACGAACTGAATCACCTTGGGATGAGAATTTCAGGCATTTTTATCATATTGGAAGATTTCGAATTACCGACAGATCTGATTTAAGATTTGGATTAACACCTGATAAAAGTTTTACTTTGACGATCAGCAGTTTTCTCTCTTTGCGTGGGTTAGTTTAATTACTTCTATTTTCTTCTTATGACAAAAAAATTCTTTTTTGTTTGAACATTGTGTGAAATCTGGATACTCAAGTCTTATTGACATGGCATGCAAACTAAACAGGTTAAAATTAAGTTATATAGGAATGCGATCTGGTTTCTACTGCTTCCTGTTCACTTAATGACTTAATGTTCTCATCGCTTAAGAATTACTTATTTATTTATTTATATAAGCATATAAAATATTGCTGTCATCAATTGATTTTGATGTATTAAAACAATATAAATAGCATAAGAAATAGAGTTACTGTTCCGAGTAAGGTTTTGTTGGAAACAATTTTTTTATTGCTTTCTAAAACAAATTTTTAGTACAAAAATTTTTATGTCAAGAGTTTTTTTATAAAGTAGTAAGAAAGCTGTCTTAAACGAAACTAAGGCATTGTTTATTAAAGTAGTTTTTTAGTACAAAAATTAAAAATTTTGTACTAAAAGTTGTTTTAAGAAGCAGCAAGAAAGCTGTCCAAAACGAAGCCAAAATGAATGCCATTTTGCTTATTTAAATAAGTAATATTAGCTGTGCATCCATATAATTACAAGTTACAAATTATAAATTATGCTGATGGTGGTTTTGTCTTGGTCAGGGATATCACTACAACATTCCCAAGCTTTGTTTTCCACTCCCAAGTTGATGATACATGATGATGGAATGCCAATGGAGATTCCAACCATAAGCCATTCATCTTTGATTGTGTTCTGTAACGTGTTTGGATAAAACGAGCTTATAATGCATTGGACATGGATATGTATGAAGCTAGGGATATTGATAATCTGGAGAAAATATGCCTAAGTTGGGTATTTGTGGGATTCTCATCATGTGGCTTTTTGGAAAAAAATTGTTACATTTTGCAATTCTTTTATTTTGATTTTTTTACTGTTTTTATTTTTTTATTGTTTTATTGAACTCATGAGTAACCTTCTCTTATAATCATCATTAATCAGCATGAAATTTTAGACTTCATTTGAGATAATTTTTTTGTTATTTTATATAATTACTTTTTAGTTAAAAAAAATTAATTTTTTTTTACTAAAAAATTATTTTAGAAAGCATAAAAAAAATCATTCCAAACGAAGTCTTAAACATCTGTTGTGCTAATTATGATGGTCTTACCTTCATAAATGCAATTTATATGACCAAGATTTTGTTTTATTGGTGTTTATTATTAGCAAGGTTCTGAAATTTGATGTGTTACAATCACAGGATTGGAAGTTTCATTTCGATGGTATTTTTTTTTATTTGTTTAATTGCACATATATATGTACAGTTTTAGGATTTACAAAAATTAATCATAAAAAAGAAAAAAAAAATGTTTGACTACTAATCAGAAAATTATTATTATTATCATTTCTTTTTTTTATAAATTAATTATGGTATATATATTTATTTTAAAATAAATGTTATCAACGTATTAGTAAAACTTAAAATTTTAATAATAATTTGTTAAGATAATTATGTTATAAAACAGAGAAAAAAATCGTCCTATATTTATAGCTTAGCAAATTGCATTATATATTTATTTAAATTTTAATAGACCAAGATTTGAGTTAAGGTTGTTTTTTTAATCAAGGATCTGATTGTTGTATTTTATAATATTGGTTATGATTAAAAAAGATTTTTTTTGAAGTTGTTATGAACATTATAAATATCATTGTTTTCTTAATAAATGAATAATTATTTTTTAAATTTTTATTATCATACAAATTTTTTGAAAGTAATATGAAATTAATAATTAAATAAAATTATAATTGTGATTTGAAAAATGAAGAGTGGGAAAATTCTCTCAAGTGGACTCTAGATTTCTTCAAATTCTTATGTGATGATCATGTATTCATGTTGGTTCTAGCCTTTGTTCAGGGTTAATTGGGTGGGGATTCAGATTAATTCTAGGTCAGGGTAAGTGGAGTAGAGTTTTAATGGCTTGCTTGATGGGTTCAGGTTTGTAAATCATAGAGTTTTAATGGGTCACTTGATGGGTGAGGTTCATAATTGGTTTATGTCGGATATCGGTTGTGAGAATGGTATGGATGGGACCTATTACTATATTAGGGTTATATGGTTATAGTGAGTCAGAGACACACTAGTCACAAGCAAACATGAATGGTTACAATCACTTCTGATATGCCACAAAAAAGTTGTCTTAATCGAGCATAAATTTTGAAGCCTATTCAAGGTGGTAAGTTTCAAAATTAAATTCAGGATAATCAGAACTACAGTTTCAGCAACTTATAATCAAATTGAATGTATCAGTGAGACGAGCCCAACGACACTAAAATCAATCAAATTAGAGTCCAAATGGGTCCAAATCAGTGACTTTAAATACATTTGGAAGTTTCAAAGCATTAATTGGATGATCAAATAATATCTAAATATGACATGCTTATAGTTGAATTGAGCAGCTCGATAAGACGAACCTAACAAGTTTAATATCGCTTAATTTTGATATCATTAATGCATTTAAATGCTGAACAAACACTCCATGATCAATTGAATCAATATGAGCCATCAGATGGAGCACTCTGAATTTATCCTTGATATTTTTCATATGTATGAGGCATGTCATTTTCCAAATTTATAAATAGACCTCCACCGTCTACTGATTATGGTCCCTCTGACCACCGTCATCTAGCTACAATCCTTTCAACATCCATCGCTCACCGACTGTGCTCCCTCGAACCTCTATCACCCAAATATAAACCTACAGACTAAATGAACCGACCAATACTCTCTTGAGAATAACTCTTGTGTCATTGGATTCTCTCAACTCCAATTATGTAATGTGCTCTATATAATATATATTTGCTATATTAAGTCAACATCTTTACCCAATGAACGGCATAATTTGTAATCAACAATCAACACTAGTGAAATCATTTCAATTTTTTCCACTTTTGGGTTTTCTATGTAAAAAGTTTGATAACTCTTATAGTTATTACACACCCTCTCTCTTATCTATATATGTGCTAGATATTTATACAAAATTATGATGTTAATCTCCTCATTTCTCTACTATCATAAATGTTCTTACATACAACAAATTCAAAAATAAATTGGTTCTTGATAGAGCTGTTGACGTTAATCCTGGTAATGATTGAACTTTCAACTTAAAAATAATAGAGATTTGATTCTTCTGTTGGATTTTAGTGTAATAATTAAAAGAGCAAAAAATTATTGTAATCCTCCCTCTAAAACGGCACCGCGATCAATTATGCTACGTATTTTATACTTAAAATCTAATGGTCCAAAGGATTTTGGACAAAAATCTAAAAAAAAAAAAGATTATATAAACTCGCACCAAGAAGATTTTAACTTCATTAATATTCTAACCCTGAGTCTGAATTAATACATAACCTAAAAATTAAAGAAAATAATTTATTTTTACAGAATCACCATTTAAAAAAAAAAAATAGCAATCTAACCCCACGCAACGGAGCAATAGCTTTTGCCCGTAGAAACTGCTCTGCACAGCCTGCACTGCTATATTATAAGCCGGCGCCCTTCCGCTCTTCATCAAAAAATCATCTTCCTCTTAAGAAACCAAAAGCCAGCTCGCTCTCTTTCTTTCTCTCTCTGTGTCTTTCTATGGAGACCTTCTTCCTCAGCCACGGATCGCCAAGGCTCTTGATAAAGGAGATGCAGGTGAGGCGTTTCCTCGAGTCGTGGAAGTCGAAGGTTTTCCCGGAGGCTCCCAAAGCCATTCTTTTGATTTCTGCTCACTGGGAGACAGACGAGCCCGTCGTCAACTACATCGACGGCCCAAATGACACCATCCACGACTTTACCGGCTTCCCCAAGCATTTATATGAGGTTTCCCTCTTCCTCCGATCTCTTCTTAATTTAAAAGTTTTGAAAAATAATAATGATCTTTTATTCATGTTGTGGTTTGAATTTGAAATTAACCGTCTTCCTTTTTTAGGATTTATCATGAGTTGAATGAATTTAAATTGGATATATTCATTGGCGGGTCAGCCTTAAGCCCAGGGTCAATTGCCCGCCTCCTCCCAAGAAATAATTTTTTTTTATTATATGATTCTTTAGGTAATTTGTCTTCCTCTGTGTATTTTTTTAGTTTTTATTACAAGTATTTTTAGGCAATTGCGCCCCTCCCCACCCACCCCCCCTAAAATTTTAAAAATACTATATTTTTAGGCAATTGCCCCAACATAATTAACACATTGTGTATAGATGTTATTATTAGAGAACGCTGCCCCTTGATCCCAAGACCTGACCGAGTAGGTCGAACCCCGCCAATGGACGCTTGCCCCTTGGATCCCCGACATATTTGCGAAGCGTACAATGATGAACAATTAGGGATCAAGAGGCAGTGCCCTCATAACCAATTTTGATTGTAAGTATATTTATGAAAAAAAAAAAACTCTACACTTTTACTTATAATAAGTTCACCCACCTCTAAAAATTAAGGCTGGATCCGCCCCCTGAATATATTTGATTTATTTGATTCAAATACTCTTGGAATTGAAGGGTGAAATTATAAAGGGTATTACCACTCCTTTGATCAATTCTTTACTAGATTACCATTTTCTGCTAATTCTTACCCTTAAACTTCTTTAGATAGTAATATAAACTTCATAAAACTCATAGAAACGCAGGCGATAAGCTTTGTTTAACATAGATGTGCATGACCGTTGCATCAAAAGAAGCATAAGCTAATTCGAGCATTTCATATATGACTTCCAGCTACAATATCCTGCACCAGGTGCACCAGAACTAGCCAATAGGGTGAAAGAATTGCTTCGAAATGGTGGCTTTGATAGTGCTGAGGAGGACAGGACTCGTGGGCTTGACCATGGAGCTTGGGTTCCACTGATGCTCATGTACCCAGAGGCTAACATACCAGTTTGCCAACTTTCTGTCCAAACTAACAAAGATGGAACACACCATTATAATATGGGAAAGGCATTAGCTCCTCTAAAAGAGGAGGGTGTTCTAATAATTGGTTCAGGATCTGCTACACATAATCTCATGAAGCAAGGTCCTGATGATGCTCCGGCACCGAGTTGGGCTGTCGAGTTTGATAACTGGCTCACAGAGTCTCTCCTTAATGGAAGGTATATACATCTCGATCCCTTATTCCATGATTTCATAGTAAATTTTTTATCGTTCTTTTATGCCATCCTAGCAGTTATTTGTCTTGAAAGCTTAAGTTCAACATTTGTAATTGAAGATTACATTCACTAGCACACCCTCTCACGCTCTAGCTAAATTTTCCTTGCAAGTGTGATTGCATGTTATGACAAAATTAAAGAGAGAGTCGCCTTAGATGGTTTGATCACATTAAGCGAAGGCCTTCCGATGACCGGGTTAGGAAAGTTGAGGTATTAGATTTGACTTATGTTAAGGATGGTAGAGGTAGACCTAAAAAGACTTGGTTAGAAAATATTAGAAATGATATTTATTTATCAGATTTAAATGAGAATTTGACTTTTAACATGACATCATGCATGACAAAAAAGGATTCATGTAGCTGACGTAGTGGGACAAGGGCTTAATGATGTTGTTGTTGTTTTTTATTTATTTTATTTATTTATTTATTTATTTTTTTATGTTGTTGTTGTTGTTGTTGTAGTAGTACTACTACTAAATGATTATGCTTCTATAGACTTAAAGGTTTTGAATTGAAAGCAACCTTTTCTTTGTCCATTATCCCTTACACATTCTAATAAAAGGTTTTGTAAAGAGAAGAGGAAGTTGCGTCGACTATTATTTTAATTTTTCCATGCAATGGTAGAAAAATGATAAAAAGAAATTAGTACACCTTTGCCTGGTACTTCTATCATTTAGCTTAATATGTCATGAAGTTGGTTTTCCTCTTGGACATGAGAAATTATTTTGTGCGGAGGCCAGACGCAGAACGCCGTCCGGAGACCAACGAAAATTCACCACGTCAGTGGTACCGAGTGAAGGGATGACGTGGCACATTTTGATTGGTCTCCGGACGGCATTCGACATCAGCACAGAATAATTAATACCTGGACACATATTAGTTTGTATTAACCACCTTTGCTTTCATTTTTTTCTGAATAAAATAAATTAGAAGTAAATGCATTAAGCTCAAATCTAATGCTTGCATGACTTCATTAAATGCCTATACTTAGTTGGTAACTTTATTTTGTAAAGGCATGAAGATGTGAATCACTATGATGAGAAGGGCCCTAGTGCTAAATTAGCACATCCTGAGCCAGAGCATTTCTATCCCCTGCATGTTGCTCTTGGTGCTGCGGGAGAGAATGCAAAAGCAGAACTGATCCATCATAGCTGGGGAAGTTCCTCGATTTCTTATTCCTCTTATAAGTTCAAGGCTGCATAGTTCTGTATATATTTTGCTTTATTATATGTGCCACTACTCCACTATACTTCATCTGTTCTTTGTGTTCAAGTGTTCTTTAATTGCCAGAAGAGTGTTGTGCTTGTAATTGTTATTTTAACTTTGTGGTGAAGTAGCCCGAAAATGTCTCTTCAGTTATATTTGATCTATTTTCACTCATTTTTCAATTATATGTGCACAATTTCTAGTGCATTTGTATGACTTCGTTTGGAACAACTTTTTAATTTTTTTTTAAAACATGTTTTTAGAACAAAATTTTTTGAAAAAAATTCAAATTTATGTATTAAAAAACAACTATTTTAGAAAACACTAAGAAATCAACCCAAATGAATCCTATATCAGACTATCAGTGGATATTCTCATCAGCATGATTTATTTATTTATTTATTTAATTTTAGGAGTCATAACTCATTTCCATTATTTCTAAAAATGAATTGTATAAAGACAAAAATGTGCCATATGGTGTAAAAATAAGAATGTGAGCAACCTAAGAGGCAGAAAAAAGGTTGAAAATAGAAATAGATCGATCTTGACGCAGACGCACAACATTGTGTTTTAGAATTGGGCTAAAATTTCGTTTGTGATAACTTTCTTACTGCTTCTTAAAATAGTTTTTTTAGTATAAAAAAACTAAAATTTTTGCACTAAGACACTTTTGGGAAAGCATGCTGTTCTTTTTGGCAAGAATTTCTATAGTTTCTAAGTGAGGATTGATAGCTAGTTAGTTATAAAAAAAAAAAAAAAAAAAAAAAAATTGACAACCTTAAAAAAAAAAAAAAAAAAATCAGAGAGCACTTTTATGCCAAATATAAGTATACCAATCAATATCAGTAATATTATCATAGTAGATAGAGATGAATTTTCAAAAGAAGGGTCTTTCTAGTCGTGATGTTAGGGAAGCCTTTAATGTGCTGAAGCAACCAACTGGTGGGAAAATTGATCTCTTTGAGAGTGGACATCTGAGGGAGAGGAAGAATATAAGCAGTAATCGATGCCATCTCTCTCATCTTTATGAAACTATGCAGAGTGTGAGCAGTCAGTAGAGCCTCATCTTTAAGACTTAAGAGCAACTCTAAGGCTTTGAGCTAATTATAAATGACGAAAATGGGTTCCTCTTTTTCTAGAGTAGCCCCATACATGAGATAAGATGTTTTTGAAGGAAATGCAATTTAGCCCAAAATTTTTGTACATAAATTTGTGATTGATCAAAATGGAGGCTTTAATGAGGATGATGAGGGGTGAATGATCTGAAAGTAACGAAGGAAGCAATTTATCTGCACTAATAAGAACTCTTTCTAGCTTAATGCTAGTATGAGCTTCAAACATGAGATTTGACTAGGGGAAAAATAGCCCACAAAGGAGAGATCAATCAAAAAAGTATAAAAAATAAAGTTATTCACATCCATGAACTTACTTGGAGGAATGGAATATCCCTGAACTTTTTCATATTGAAATATGCGATAATTGAAGTCTCCCATGAGGGTCCAAGGGCCAAAAATGGAAGAACAAATGTAAGCAAGAAAATGCCAGAGCGATTCATACTCTACATTGGAGTTGGCAGCCTATATAGCCATGAGGTGAAAATCGATGGAATAACATTAAACAACACTACGAATAAACTAAGAGTCTAGCTTGAGGGGAGCAAAATGAATTTTAGAGGTGTTCCACTTGATCCAGATGCGGCCTTGGGAAAGTAAAAATAATTGCAACTACTTTCACTATGGAAAAGTTGATGGCTATTTTTTTACTTAATTTGACTAACAATTTTGGGAGTAACAATATAATGAAATGTCTAAAATTTTAATCCATATAGGAAGAGAAGATAACTCATATTGAATTAGCATTTAGAGTCTATTTTTTGATAATTAATATTTTCCCAAAAAAAAATCAAGGCCCTACTAGTCAAACCACATAACAATCAATCTTCATTGCACATGAATTTAAACATGAAGATCTAGCATTAATGCATTATGCAATTCTCATTAAAATATATGTAAAACATGAATTCAATTCAAATTAATATTTGATAATTTTAATGAAATTGAAATCATAAATGAATTTAAAAGAAAAATTCAGTTATATATATAAATGTCTTCTTCTTCTTCTTCTTCTTCTCTCTCTCTCTCTCTCTGAGCGTATTTGATGTGAAACAAACATGCGACAAGAGTTGCTTAGGTTTTAACAATAAATATTGAACATGAACTTTGCTATTTAAGAACTTATGCTTCACTCAATTCAAACTCGTAGAATTTTCAATAAGAGATTAAGTGATGACAAAAGTTACAAGTAGGATAACAGGACAATCTCAATAAATGTGAAACAAAATAATAATGCTAATAACAAGTAAACAAGAATCCACAGCGTAACATCAAGATATGGTCACTTAGAGTTCCTTCTCACTCAATCACTCTTAGGCTTTAGCAGAGGAGGACGAAGCACACGAGGAGAGAGATTACCGCTAGGAAGATAACGCCAAGGATCTTCGTCGGTGGAGAGGTAGCCGGTGGTGGAGGAAGTTGTGGATGACCAACGATTATCTAACGACCCGGTGGAAGGTGCTCTTTAATCGACAATGTCAGTTGGTATAAGATGCAGTCGATGTACCCTTTAACAGTTTCGTCGTTGTCATTTGTCAAAGAAGACGTCAAAGAATAGGGAGCCAAGGATATCTGTCCTTCCTTGCTCGTCGAATAAATGTCCTTGGTCGATCTCAGGATTGGCCATGCACCATTGACATGAGGGAGGAGAGAGTACAAGTAGAGAGAAGAAAGAGAGAAGAGGGAGGTGGAGAGGGAGGCCGGGGCTTGGGTAGGAAAGAGGGGGTGGGATGGCTTGAGGAAAGGGGGAGGCGGCTAGGGTTTGGATTAGGAGGAGCTTGGGATTAGAAAAGCTGAATTTAATTTCAATTTAAGTGGATTTGGAGGGAAACATTTTGAAATTAAATTCAAATTTCAAATTGGGCTAAGGGATTAAGTGGGCAATTAATGGGGAAGCCCATCATGGGGTCGGCGGCTTCATGAGGGGGTGGAGGGGATTGGGAAGAGAATTATGGGAGTTTCCAAATAGGAGATATAGATTAGGAAAGCGAATAATAAATCCAATTTGATTTATTTTGAAATTGAATTCATGATTGATAACTTTCCTAATTTTGGATTCCCTATATGGAAAGAATTTGAAATTCAAATTTGAATTTCAAAAGAACTCAAATCTTTCCCTCTCATGCTTGAGTTAAATTAGAAAGTCATTATGGTGATTGAAATTAACATAATGAGGGAGAATTTATGAACCGTTCGTTGGACATTTGGAGGCCTTAATGATGTCGGAATTTAGTGATCTTGGGCTCGTTGGATTTGTCTCGTCGAGCCGTTCGATTCGAGTATAAGCTCGTCAAAATCGGAGTCCGTTTGGTAACTCAAATTGCTGTTTGAACCTTCCAACAGCGCTTTGAACTCTTGATTCGGACTTATTTGGGCTCGGATTGGGTCGATCTTGGTGTTTTTGGGTTCGTATTTCCGAGACGCTCAGTTTGACTGTAAGATCGTTGAAATCGGAGTTTGGATGCTCCCGGATTTAATTTTTGAAGTCTCCAACTAGTTTTTGCCTCGGGATTCGTGCCTGATCAAGCTAATTTTGTGATGATGTATCAATTTTAGATTGAGATTTATTCGGTTAGTTTAATGATTATAAAATAAATTTTAATCATACATGAAAAAATCCAGTCATAAAAAGTTATTTCTATTCATATTTGCATATGAAATTTCTTATGGATATGAAATTTCCATAAGAAATTAAATAAGAGATTTATAAATTTTAAATTTATATATGCATCTCACCGCAAATGAAGACCGCCCGATATTATTATGATATCATTATTACTTGTTAGACCAAAACCTTGGCCTTACCAGAAAGTTTGCCTAAACCAATATGTATTTTTTATTATGTGAAGGCTTCAACAAAACCGCGACTATTAGTCATCTTATTTAGGCGGCTTAGCAGGAAATCGCGTAATTAAAGAGATAATATCTATTTTAAAATTAATTAGATGAAATTATCATATCAACATGGAATAACGTCCGGGTTCATTGCAATTATATTATATGGAAGTTAATTTGGCTTCTGATGTAGCTATGAAGTCATTCGTGATGTCAAGAATTTTGTCCGGTTAATTAAGAAGAGATTATTCTGTAGGGACATCAGATTAGAATAATAGTTCGATTTTGTCTCTGTGAACAGTAAAAGCGTAGTTCGCGCTTTTAGTATTCACAAAGACAAACCGAACGGTTCTCCCGTCTGGTATTGGTACTAAATAATTCAGCCTAATTAAGGGCATCTCCAACCAAAAATCCTATTTTTCACTCCAAATTGCAGGAAAACTAAAAAATGTCGTGATTCATCTTCAATTGAACTTCATTTTATATAACATTATTTTATTTCAAATTAAGAAAATCATAATTACTTATATTCCTTTTACACTTTATTTTTTACGTTTTATTCCATTTTCAACAAACAGCGCCGGTATAATTCATTTAACTACTCACACAATGTTGAAAGCCATTTTCTATACCAATTTAAGAACTTATATATATTATTGATATTTATAATTTTTTATATGATTTGAATGTAATTTAGGTGTCATTTGACACTTTTTTGATCGAAAATAAAAAATTATAATTTTTATTTATTTATCTTGAGCGTAAAATTGATATCACATATAGAATTTTTACAGATATTAGCATCCACTTAAAAGATCGAATATAAATTCAATCATTTTTTGAAGGATACCTTTTAAGTTCAAGCAACAAATGAATTATTTTGTCCACTCTTTATGTTGGGAGTTACTTCTTCAAATAAAATAAAAATTTACATCTTCACTCATTAAATCTAATTTTAATTAAAAAAAAATTGTGAGCAATAAATAATAAAATATATGTGTCCCATTCAAATAATTTTTTCAACCGCTATATCTTAAGTAATATATCACATTCTTAACTCTATTAATCAATTTCCCTTACGAATGAGCTTCATCGTGAGTTCCTACTTCAATAGTAGCGGTAGGGAGATGTCATGTTGAGTGAGTTCCGCTGGGGCTGCAAACCAACCGAGCCGAGTCGAGTATGTGAGTGTTCATATTTGTGTTCATTTAATTTCAGGTTGTTCAAGTTTGGTTCATGTTTATTCGAGCTTTATTGTTTGTTGTCATGTTTGGTTCATTTAAATTAACGAGTATTCATGTTCGGTTCATGTTCGTTCGTTTAGTGCTTATTGAGCTTTAAACAAACAAACATGAACGAGCTATACACGAGCTATACTTTTAGATGTTCATTAACTTAACAAACGAGCTTTATCGAGCTTCCTAACAAACGATTACATCGAGCATGTTCGCGAATATATTTAACGAATTTTTTTAACTATCAAACAAGCACGTTCATGAACATATCTATGAACAAATACATTTATAATAAAGGCAATTGTCTATGTAACAAAGGCAATGATTTATAAGCAAATCCCATATTCATAGAATTTTCCTAACAATAGCATTAATAAAGTCAATGATTTATAAATAAATAGCCAAATAAAGCTACAATTACTTAGACAACAAGTTAAGTAATATTTGATACATGCAGCAATCACACGAATCGAGCTTAATGTCAAGTTTGTTCACGAACCTCAAATGATGTTGTTCGCGAACATAAATGAACCGAACGTATTAGTGTTCAAGTTTGTTTATTTAAGAATTGAGTATTTAAAATATTGTTCAAGTTTGTTTGTTTAGTTAATTAAACGACCACAAACGAACTTTAATCGAACCGAATAATGAGTAGCTCGTTGAACGTTTAGTTCGCTTGCAGCCCTAAGTTCCGCCACAAATTTCTTATGTATTGTCAAATGATGATGTGTGTAAAGGCAAAAGGACAAATACATGCTAAATATGAGAGGTTAGATTTGGATGGCAATTGGAGATAAGTGTTATTTTTGTTGGTGTTTAAAATTTTAAATATTATTTGAGTAAATAGTAAAATTTAAATGTTAAATATATAAATTAAAAAAAATTGAGTGCTACTTACTAGGGGTGTTAATATTTGACACGACCCAAAAATCCGACCTGAACCCGACCAAAAAAATTTTGAGTTTGGATTAGAGATTTTGATCCGTTTTGTAAAATCGTGCCAGGTTTGAGTTGACCAGGAAACCTGAAATCAATTCGATTTGACTTGGACCATGCTCTGTATGTCATTCGCGTTAGGTCCGAAGAGATGCCGAGTCAGATGCGTGTCAGTCACGTCGGATGTCTGCTGTCAGGTCCTTTGCCGTCGCTGCCTCGAAATATCGAGCTAGTCTGCGTCGTCCAGTGACCACTGCCCTTGCATGCTCGTTGTAGCTCGACTCTGGCCTCGCATGCCGGTTGAGGCCTAGTCGATGTCCCGACGTTGCCCTAAGACCTAAGACGGAAGTCCACCTGACCCTCGCGGCTAGCCGACAACCCGAACTGCCGTAGTTACGCGTCGCCAACGAGCCATGTGCTAGCGAAACCGCGTGAAGGTCGTGTTGGGTTGACTCGGACCTGAGGCGGGTTAGATTCGGGTTGTGTCGAATAGAAGGGGGTCACTATCAGGTTCGATCAGAATCCGACCCATAATCCATTTTTTGACACCCCTACTACACACTAAGCCCCATTTAATTTTCTTCTTTCAAGAAAATAGGAGAAACTTTTCAAAATTCTTAAATTTTAACTTTAGTTTAAAAAAAAAAAAAAAGGTCAACTTCTGCACGTTTATAAAATTGGTGGCGCGAGCCTACCATCTTCCTTTCGTAAACAACTTATTCCCTTTCTTAAACAAACACGGACAACAATCTCTCAACAACCCTCTTTCTTCTTCTTCTTATTCTTTTAAATTCTCCTCCTCATATCTCTTCCGATTTCCGTTCCCAAATCTCGATTTCTACTTATGGATACCTTCTTCATCAGCCACGGATCACCGACGCTGTCAATCGACGAGAGGTTGCCAGCTAGGCATTTCCTCAAGTCATGGAAAGCGAAGCTTTTCCCGACGGTTCCTAAGGCTATTCTGATGGTTTCTGCACACTGGGACACGCCGGAGCTCGCCGTCAACATCATTAATGGCCGTAATGATACCATCTACGATTTCTACGGTTTTCCCAAACCTATGTACGAGGTTGGTATTCTTCTAATCACTTTGTCAGTAAAATAGGTGATTTTAGGTTTTGTTTTGTTTTTTGTTTTCATTCTGATGGATTGTGTTGTTTCTTGTAATTTTATTGAAGGAATTGTTTAGTTTGGGAAGCATCCATGCTGAAATTGAACATTTATGGGGGTGGTGTTTTTTTTAAGTGGTGGGTTGGGGTGGGTAGTGGTATCAGTTAGTTGTTTAAATTTTTTTATGGATATGGTTCGAAGAAAATTGGATTGCTAGATGATTTCTGGCTGGTCCTGTCTTGATGTGTTAGATGAGAATAAGAGATTTTTAGCTAATTGTTTGTTCTTGGAATTACCTATAAATGATTTGAAAGATTTGTCTGTGGTAGAGATGGTGCAGAACCATCTAGTGATCCTACAAAAGAAAGCCCTTGCATAAATAAAAATTATTCTGTTCTATCAGAAGATTGCAAAGTCTGGCTAAAAGAACTTCAGATTGACTCGGTTCTGTTTTGCCTTTGTTTTTGTTTACTTGGTAAAAATCTTGAAAAATATTGTTAACTCTTGAGTTCAAATTTCTCCTACATCAAATTTGTGCCTTGACACTCAGAAAAAGTTCCAATTTTGATGATACATATATTTAAAATTTTTAATTTTTTTGCCACAGACTTTTGCTATCGTGAGCTCATGAACTGATTTATGGATTGAGTATTTCTGTGTAAAAATATGATGATTTTATTTCATAAAGCACAACAAAAGCATATAGAAATATAAAGCTTGATTTACATCTTCATTTGTGTTAATATTTTCTCCAAAACATCAGCCCATATTCTCTGCAGATACTGCAACAACCCCATATTCCATAGAATCACAGAAGCTAATATATATAAGCATTTATCCATGCTTTCCAGATCAAATATCCTGCGCCAGGTGCACCAGAACTAGCTAAGAAAGTAAAAGGATTGCTTCAAAGTGCTGGATTTGACCGTGTGAAGGAGGACAAGAATCGCGGGCTTGACCATGGAGCCTGGGTTCCTTTGATGTTGATGTATCCAGAGGCTAACATACCAGTTTGCCAACTTTCCATTCAATCTGACAAGGATGGAACATACCACTACAATATAGGGAAGGCATTGGCTCCTCTCCGAGATGATGGTGTTCTAATTATTGGATCAGGAAGTGCCACACATAACCTAAGATCGCTTGGCCCCGACCATGTACCACCACCCAGTTGGGCTGTAGACTTTGATAAATGGCTTACAGAAACTCTAATTGATGGAAGGTATGCTTATCTGTTCTTTTTCCATGCATTCATTGTAGCTTTCATAGTTTCAGGTCCTTGTTGCAGCTTATTTGCTACTTTACAACGAATATTTTACCTTTTTTGGGCCCATTTAGCTTACAAATTGAAGCTCTGTCAATGTGGGGGTTTGAGCGTTTTATATGCACCAACTTGTGGAGTCTAATCTTTGGCCTATGAAGGAACACCTTATATAAACTTCACTGAGGATTTTTATAAAGGGGCCGCTGTCTTTAGATGATTTGGGAGAAATTATGACTAAAAAAATACCACAATTAAAACCATATAGAAATCTGTCATGACAGTAGTACGACGTAGTTTTCAATTGGATAAACTTGTATAAATCCTTGATGTGTTTTGAGCATTGTTCTTCTTTCTGTTTTATTTGCTCAAGGTGATTTGACTTGAGTCTCACCTAATTCCCAACTCTGCTTGTTCTTACATTGAGGAAAGGTTGACTTGTGGATGAATATTTTGGAGGGTTTGCTATAAGGAAGAGCTGCATATACCCATGGGCGAATCCCCCTTGATGTCAGGGTGGGCATTTTCCCACTCTCAAAAAAATAAATGATGTACTAGAGGGGGCATTTTTGACATTTTGTCCCCCGTCAAAAGAACATTTTTGCCATAATATTATCATCCTAAGTGTCATTGTCCATCCCGCAAGTTCGCACTGCGCAGCCGCTTTCGTTATTTGCACATTCGACGTTCAAGATGCAATCTCCTCGCAGCCGTCTCACAGCCATCTTCTTCCCAATCACATTCGACATTCCTAATATGTTATTGGAAGATAAATGATAAAAATTTCCTCTTACAAATTTGATAGCATTATGTATGTTAAATTTATAAAAAAAAATTATTTTGTTTTTTTTACTATTTGATGTTATTATTTTATTATTTATTTATTTATTAATTATTATTATTATTATTAATTTCTTGTTAATTAAAATTTTGTTCATCCTGAAAAATGAAGTTGGATCCGCCCCTGACCCCTGCATATACGGCTTAGTTAATCCATGTTGAATTTGACGAGGGTTTGGCATACACAAATTTCATATATTTGCCGATTTTAAAGTCCCAATTCCTTTTGTACTAAAAATGTAAGAGAACCAAAAGAAGAAATTGCCACCCTTCGCCTCCATGGCCTGTGTCATTTGACCCAACCTACAAAATTTGACTAAAATAGTTTCAGAGCATGAGAGTTTTGATTTGTACAACTCTGTTCATTTCTTGTTATTCCTTCACGTTTACAGAACAGAATGAAATCTTAAATGACATTAACTATTATTTCTGCTGCAGACATGAAGATGTGAAACACTATGATAAGAAGGCTCCAAGTGCTAAAATTTCGCATCCGCAGCCAGACCACTTCTATCCTTTGCATGTCGCTCTTGGAGCTGCGGGGGAGAACGCCAAGGCAGAGCTTATCCATCACAGCTGGGGAAATTCCTCACTTTCTTACTCTTCTTATAGGTTCCAAACGGCATAGTTCATGAATTTGTTTGCTTTGTTGTATGTTATGTATACTTCCATCCCGCTTTGTATGAGGATTTATTTTTATCTTATTTATATGCATTGTTTAGTTATAATAATGTGATGAGTTGTATGTGTGAGCTTTTTGGCTCATAATCATTTGTAACTATCTGAACTTTTTCAATCTGCTCAAATTAAGTTCTTTTAATAAATATCAATTTAATATCCAGCTATTATATTTACTGAGGAAATTAAGGTTTCGTTTGAGACAATTTTCTTGCTGCTTTTAATGCTTTTTAAAGCAGTTGTCTAGTTTAAAAATTTTTGGTACTAAATAGTTGTTCTAGAAAGCAGTAAGACAGCTGTCACAAATGAAGCCTAAGTAGCATTGTTCACAATAAATGATATTTTTTAACCTCTTGGATTTAGTGGGGGATAGTGCTGGTGTTGTTGACTTTGTAGGCGATTTTGAGGGCTGTTTCCCTACTTGAAAGTTCAATTCTAAGAGTGAGAGGGTGTATTATCTTGCCATCAGATTTAGAACAAAATCACAATAACTCAATGAAAGATTGTGAACTGAAAATTTAGAAACAATCTAAGAGTAGAAATTATGATTTAAGTGATTATACATCATCAAAAAATTATCATGACCGGGCTCGAATCTCGAGGCAAAATTAGGTTGAAAATTTTCGAAATTAAAATTGGGACCATCCAAACTCTAATTTCAACGAACTTACAATCGAATTGAATGTCTCGAAAATACGAACACAAAGACACCAAATTCGACTCAATCCGAGCCCAAATGGGTCCAAATCAAGGGCCTGAAGCCTTGTTGGAGGGATTAAACTATAATTTGGATTACCAAACGGTTTCCAAATGTGACATGCTTATAATCAAATCGAGCGGCTCGACGAGATGAATCCAACAAGCCTAAGATCACGGAATTCCGACATCATTAAGGCCTTCAAATGTCTAGCGAACTGTCCATGATCAAGGGATTCAACATCTGTCGTCCATCAAAGCCACTCTCTATTTTCCCTTGATCCTCCTCTTATTTACGGGACATGCCACTTTAGAAAATCTATAAATAGAACCCCCTCAACCCCTCTCCTCTTGAAAAGGGAGATATCAGAGATCACTCTTGCCTCCTTGCCTCCTTGACCACCACCGGAGTTCCGTCGGGGGCCACCACTTGACACCATCAGCTCTGCTGGACCACCACCTGACGGCTGAAGTTTTGCCGGACCACCACCTAACACCCTGAGCTCCGTCGGACCGCCACCTGACCCCTTGATTTCCTTCGGATCACTACATGACACCCTGAGCTCCACCGGACCACCACCTAATGCCTGGACTTATGTTGGAACACCACATGACGCCCTGAGCTCCGCTGGACCACCACCTGACGGCCTGAGTCCACCAGACAACCACCTGATGTCTGGAGTTCTATCAAACCACCACATGACGCCCTAAGTTCCACCATACCACCACCTAACGCCCTAAGCTCCGCCGAACCACCAATTATGCCTGGGTTCCACCGGACCACCACTTAATGCCTTGAGCTCCACCAGACCACCACCTGACACCCTGAGTTCCACCGGACCACGACCTGTCGCGTGGAGTTCAGTCGGACCACCACCTAACACCTTGAGCTCCACTGGACCATCACCTGACTCCTGGAGTTCCACAGGACTGTCAAGTGACGCCAGATTTTCATCCCCATTTATCATTAGATTTCAACCATACAGTTGGAATTTGTAATCAAATTGCCTTCAAGGATAAGTCAGCTCACTCTAATCTACTTGAATTCTAGTGGAATCATTTTCAACTGGGTCAGGCCTCGTGATTTTTCCTTTTTCCAGGGTTTTCCACATAAAAAATCTTGTGTTCTCTGTGTGTGAGCAGGATATCTGTACAACGCTAATACATAGGATTATAGCTCTATCGTCGTGTGTATTCTAGCCTGCAACAAGTGACATTTTTCTCCACCAATAAGATAATCCTATCATCTAATTTTAAAACTAAGCATATGTTAGTCTATCCACCAAGATATAAATAGGGTTTAATTAAACAATTAAAAAAAAATAAAAAACCTATTTGTTTATGATTTATAATAAGATAATTGATAAGATGGACAAGACTAATGATATTAACACTTATTTATTCATGGTTTATAATATTGTTTTATTGATTATCGACGTATTTACGTTTTCACATCTTTTGTTGATTTAAGGATTTAAGCGTGATGGTTTTCTACTTTTCATTATTGATCATATTAAACCATATCAGTGGTGATTGATTGATGTTATTGAACGTTATTGATTCTATTAATTGAAATTAGCATGCATATCGATTCCTTAAATCTTGTATGGATGGATTTAGTGAGTTTTTTGTTTTTGTTGGGCTTTGTATGCTCATTATATAATTTTATTAATTTTAAATCAAAAAAGGGGGAAGAACTTTGTGCAGTGAGGTGGATTGAGGTCTTCATATTTCTCCTTTTTGTTTTTGTTTTTATTTTTTTTGTATTCTTTTGTAGTCAAGAGCTATTGATAGACATATTGACTGTTAGTGATCCCCTGACTATTAAAAATGTGATTTTGATGAATAAATATAGTGAAATATTTCAATGTGTATGATGTTCAATGGCATTTACAAGATAGATTAATATATATTGTTGATTTATAGAAGTTTTGGTAAATACTTAAAAAGATAAAATAAGTAATTCTTCTAAATTGGATCCAGAGACATGACATTTGGCTCTCGATCTAGAGGTTTTATATTTGAGGCATTGCATGTGCAATATGCATGAGCTTGTGATTAAAATTCGCTCATCAATAAAATAAAATAAAAAAGTTGGTTTACATCATATTATCTTGTTAGTTCTTTTGATCATTTTGAAAAAAAAAAAAAAACACACACACATCTTTCAAGTGAAATGGAATATATCTAAAAATACACACTTTCTCTTGTATATTAGCCCATCTTTTTAACCCATCTGACAACCTCCTTTACTCAAAATAACTTTTTTTTTTAATACTTTTGTATCAAACTGTCAATTTTGCTAATATACTTAAAATAATGTAAAATTCTAATTGACATGAGTGGTGGTTGTGTTCTAGATAAATTTTTAGACGTGCACATTTATGCTTTAGTATCAAACTGACTATTTTACTAGTATACTTAGTGTAAATTTCTAATGGCCACTTTTTAGAAGCCTTTTTAAGTTTTTATTTTTTGATGCATTTCATAGAAACCCATTTTTCCTCGTCTACAAAATATGGTTCAATACCTCAATTGCTCAATTGAATCCATGGACGTATTCAGGGTGGGGGCATTAGTGGGCACGTGCCCAAAACGTGCCCCCATTGGCTTGAGACTACGATTAATTATTCTGCGCGGATGCCGAATGTCGTCCGGAGACCAACCAGAATGCGCCACGTCACCTCTTACTCGGTACTGCTCTGTACCACGGCTCGATACTGCTGATGTGGCATATTCTGGTTGGTCTCCGGACGGCGTTCTGCGTCCGGTCTCCGCACAAAATAATTTCTCCGAGACTACCCCACTAAGTTGTCTGGTTGGATGACTCGGCCTTCCTCTCAATCTATCTTTATTTTATGAAAAAAAGGTAAGAAGTAATCAAAGAGCTAGAATATAGATAAGAGAATTACAAACACATAATTGTCATAATCTTAGAGAGACCATCATAGGCATTTTCAACTCACCATTGATATATTGCTGGCTTGCAACTAACATGGTCTAGAATGTAGTTTAAGATAGTAAAAAATTATTTCATTATAGAGCCATCACTAAAAATAATTCTTAGATTTGCCCATAATTGCATCAATAGTTGGGAAAAAATTGGCCCTTAATATCTTCTTTGAAAATTTTGATCTTCATCGGTTTTAAAATCTTTAGATATGCATATATATATATATATATTATATATAATGTTAATCTAAAAATTAGATTCAAACGAATTTTTAGGCTCATCTTCACCAATTTTTGCAAACAAAAATATATCATGATACAAACTTCTTTCTATGATTGATGTTAAGCTCCCACCTTATTTTTTCATTAATGATCGAAAGATTATCAACTTTCAAGCAATAAGGCTCATCTTACTTTGATATGTTCCAATTTCCAAAATGATTTTGCATCTCTAATAAGAAAGAAGAGATAGCCCCAAAATTAATTTTTAGTATTTAAAGAAGAAAAATTGCCGAAGAATATCCTCGCACATTTTAAGGTTGAATAGGCTTCCAAAATTCTTGAATTTGCATCGAGTTCCAACCGTTGCACTAAATCTTGGTGTAAATCCATAGACTTTTGAAGTCCATACTTATGAAAAACACATTAACGATATCCTTATCCTTTTTTTTAACTTAAAAAATGTTAATAACATATGACGATTCATAATATCCTTGAGTCGAATCACTTGGTTTTTAAAAGTCAAGTAGTTATTAGCTTAGATTCAATCCAAATCATTTTTCAAAGATGGAATCACTTTAATTCTGATTCAAATGATTTTATATATTAGGTTTTTCAATAGGCTAACAAAGAAATAATTGACCCATTTGTTTATGCTTCTTATGCATATACAAAAGTTTTCTCAATCACTTTAGTACTCTCTCCTCCTCCTTTCAATGTGAAGAATGGCGAATATATTTATAATTTTGGAGAAAGACATTTGATTATTTCTCCAAAGTCGCAAAATACTATCTAACAACTCAATGTTGGTTTCTTGATCGAAGGTATTTCCTTAGTGGTTTTAGCGTACCTTACTGATTTTTGGAATCCAGGAATTTTGGCTGTAGGATTCTACTTATCAGATGGTTGAGTGGATTAATTAAGTATAAACAAATTTAGAGATTATTAGTTCCTCACTTAATTAATACAGTTTTCTATCCATACTTTAAAGTGCCTTGATCTTATTTGGACTCCGGCAATTCCATTTTTGATATCGTTGGGTTCCTTCCATCGAACTTTTAGTTAGTTAATATTTGAATGGAATTAGAGTTCAAAAATTTTGAATGGTTCTAAATGTTTTGTTTTCCAATTCCAATTATGCTTGATCAAATGGATTTTCCCAATAAAAATCAATATCTGTATCCTAAATCTACTTATATAACACACATCGTCCTAAATTTTCATCAAAATATGCATAAAAGAAGCATTCCACTTTAATATCAGTTAATATTATAATATTTTTTATATGATGTTG